CCCCCCGTGGAGGATGCTTTGCATGTTGAAACCTTTAGGTGACTGACCATGTGGGAGTAAGCTTCCAGTTACTGGGATGTTGCAGTAAGATGCTAGTAGTTCTATTGGATATGAACTTCTTTTCTGTAATCATAAAACAATGTAATGTTTACAGTCATAATAATACAGTGATCATCAAAGATTATGGGATTATCTTTAATGATCACAGAAAACAAAGGCGGCAGTCACAGGTTGGGTCAGTGAACATATTTATTTAAGCTTATGCTATAAACTCACACTCTCTACTTCAGCTACACTACCACAAGCCCAAAACAGATTTAGCCTTGCTAAACTAACATGAAAACCATGTAATGTCTAAAAGCAAAGAGCGAAGAAAAGAATCCCACCAACCACAGGTTGTCACAGACTGATTGGATGATTCACTGTATAAAAGGTGCACTCACTTATCGAATACATCATTCTTCATCATGCTTCAGTGCACCAGCTTCTAGATAAATCACTCACATAATTCAGTATGAGTGCATATTTTCAACATTTAAGGGCTGAAAGTGATTCAATCCTTTACAAAAGGACCAACACAAACTATTCAATCACCAGAACGTCACCTTTTGGGCTGTGTGTGTGGAAAAGTCATTGAGAGCCCAGCTCAAACCCAAAATCCTGCTCTCTTCTCTCCTTCCTCTTGTTGCTGCACTGGCAAATGCCTCTACGTGTTCAAAAACAAATTCTTACAGAGTTGATGTCAACAGGTTCGTGAGCATTGTGCACATATGACAGGGAGCAAGGCCAGGAAGTGCAAGTTTATTATGTGAACGTCTCAGCATGGCCCTCTGCCATCAAAGCTTTTCAGAAAAGGTGCCTATTTTAATCAATGGAGTGTAAAATGACTGAATAAATATTTGCAGAGCTAAAATTCAAATCATAAGGAAAATGTGTACTGCATAAAAAAATTTAATAACATGTCCACTTTGCCACTTTACCACAACACTATGACTGTAAACACCCAGTGTAGTCCAGAGGATGGCTTTTTTTGTTAGTCATTTAGATTGAGGTCTTCCTAAGAGGTTACCCTGACTGATTC